GATTTGTCTGGCGTTTGGCCTACATTTGGCACAGTTCGTTCAAAATGGTTGTAATTGGCTCGACCCCGTCTGGCGGTCAAGCCCACCTGCATCCCCCAGTTTTGAGGTAGCAAAGTTGGCTACTCGGGATATTTGCATTTTTCGCAAATCCTTTTTTATTGTTATTCTTCATATCCTTACCCCTTCCCTACCATGGCACCTTTGGATACCCACGCAACACCCATATATCACCTACTTCGACACATCTTGGAATACTCCCCTCAACACTCCGATTGAGTCACAATCCTATCACCTCCTCTTACATGTTTATCTCCTAGCAAGACACAGGATCATCTGCCTCTCCCAAATACCACCTCAAGTTACGGAAAAGCGAGAAATCATGATTCCAAATGATTAGTCTTACATCACTTAACGTCCGAGGTCTGAACTCGCCATATAAACGTTCGTTACTCTCTAGAGAAGCACGGAAGTCACAAGCGGACATACTCTTTATTCAGGAAACACACTTCGCTACTGAAAAGGCGCCTAAATTATACCTTCACTGTTTCTCTCAAACATTTATGGCGACTAACCCCAAAAAAAAAAGAATGGAGTGATCACGGCCATTAAGGATTCTATTTCATTTCGCCTTTTGTCACAGAGGGCGAATCCACTTGGGCGCTTTCACATTTTAGTATGCCAAATAAATGACAAGACTTATACCCTGGTAAATGTTTATGGCCCGAACTGCAAACAGCTATGTTTCTACCGTAAACTTTACAAAACCATCTCCATACTTAAACAAGGGAAACTCATTATCGGCGGGGATCTTAACATTACGGGTAATTCGAACATGGACTCTTCTTCTACTTCAAAATCCACGAAACCAACTATCAATCAATTTCTGCACGACAATGACCTTTACGACATCTGGAGATGTCAACATGGCTCTGAAAAAGACTATACTTATTACTCCCCTCCACATCTTTCATACTCACGGATAGACATGTTTCTCACAGACAAATGGACATTGCAACAAGTGACAGCATCCAAAATTGGAACTATAACCTGGTCGGACCATGCCCCGATTCATATATCATTAGACGATGACCAAAACACAGCGCTCCCACCCATCTGGAGACTCAACTCTTCACTTCTGACGGCGCCGGAGAACCAGAAGCGTATCCAAGAAGCCCACAAACTCTTTTTTGACACCAACGCCACACATGATATTTCTATTACCACACTTTGGTTGGCCTATAAGGCATACATGAGAGGTATTCTTATCCAGTTAAAACGCCCGCACTAAGAGACAACGTTCTCAACAAATTGATCAGCTCATGACTTCCATTCGCTCCAATGAAAAACTAAACAAACAGAATCCAAACCCTGACATAACAGCGACTCTAAACTCAGATAGGAACAAATTACGTGCCATTTTACTCCACGCATACGACACTAACCTACAAAAAACAAAAGCTAAATTCTATGCACTCGGTAACAAGGCAAATTCACTCCTTAGTAAAACTATCAAACAAAAACGTCTTAAAACCAAAATATCCACAATCCGACATCCTGCTTCGCACAACACTCTGACGAACCCACAGGATATCGCAAATGCTTTTGCGGCCTACTATCAGACATTATATAATCTAAAAGACGATGTCAATACAACCCAACCCACGACACATTCAATAGAACAATTTCTATGTAACATTAACCTCCCACACATAACCCCGTCTCAACTTGAATCCATTTCTATACCGATCTCTTCGGCGGAGATTGAAAAAAATCATACGCACCCTTCCTCTGAATAAATCACCAGGGAACGATGGCTTCACTAATGAATACTACAAAGCCTTTGCCCCCGACCTCTCTCCGCACCTATCCCCCCTCTACAACCATGTCGCTACTTGTGGCGCATTCCCCCAAGACATGCTGCAATCGATAATTACCACCATCCCGAAACCAGGAAAAGACCCTCAACTGGTACAAAATTACAGACCAATTTCGCTCCTTAATACAGATATAAAGATATACGCTAAGATAATCGCCCTAAGACTGATCCCTTACCTACCGACTTTAATCCATCCTGACCAGGTAGGATTTATCCCTGGTAGACAAGCCCCTGATGCCACCAGACGGATTATATCCCTGTTACACCACCTTGAATTAGATCCCCAACCTTCGCTCTTATTATCGCTTGATGCAGAAAAAGCATTTGACCGAATCCACTGGAAGTTTATGACACATACGCTCCAAAAATTTGGAATATCTGACTGGATGCTATCGGCCATTTTGTCCCTTTATTCCAAGCCATCGGCCAGAGTCCTAACTGACGGCACACTTTCTCAACCCTTCTACATTTCTAACGGAACTAGACAAGGCTGCCCGTTATCCCCTATAATTTTTGCGCTACTCATTGAACCATTAGCAACCACCCTTAGAAATGACCCCAAGTTCACGGGAATTAGATGCTTAAAATCCGAACACAAGATCAGCCTATTTGCCGACGACATTATCCTAATGGTCACTAATCCATACAACTCCCTCAAAACTATACAAACGCATATTCGAAACTACACATCCGTATCTTACTATAAACTTAATGAACCGAAATCTTCTATTCTGAATCTACACACACCAGAGGTCACTCAAAATCTAATTTCCAAACACTTCCCCTTCACATGGGAAAAACTTAGCATACCATACCTGGGAATCAAACTGACTCCAAAGACCAACCAACTATATACCGCTAATTTTAAACCACTACTTGAATCCATTCCGCAAGAGATTAAAGGTCTACGCACCACTACTCTCTCGACGCTAGGCAGATTGGCGACAGTTAAAATGTGTATCTTACCCAAGATACTTTACATCTTTCGCATGCTCCCTATACCAGTTCCTCACATCTTTTTTACAAAACTTCAGGCAATATTGAACAAATTCCTTTGGAATGCGAAAAAGCCTAGATATGCTACAAATCTCCTAATCCGCCCATCCTCCAGAGGCGGAGCGGGACTCCCACATATGAAATCCTATTACCTAGCCACTTTACTTGACCAGCTCTTTTTTGGTGGCAGCCCACATTCAACAAAACTTGGACTCTTCTGGAAACTTCCTTATTCCTACCACACACCTTGTCAGACTTATTATTCATACCTCGAGGGACACACATTACGCATTTACATAGTCACCCTTGCATAATAGCCTCTCTAACAGCTTGGTATGATTTTATTTCTCATACCCAACTACGTAAGGACAACCTCCAAATTCTCACCCCGCTCTCATCCCTACACTTCCTCTCTCCTCATTTAAACTTAAATTTATGGAATGACCATGGCTTACTCTACATACAAAACCTGTACACCAACAATACACTACATTCCTTTCAGACTATTAGAGAAAAATACCAAATCCCAGCTACTGAATACTTCACCTATATATGTATAACCCATGCCCTCTATAAGGCGAATGTACCATGTAGTATTAAAATCCCAGCGACTACACAGCATTTCTTACAAAAACCAACCTATCCAAAAAAAGGCATTTCATTGTTCTACAAACTCCTAGTTGAATCGCAATTTAATACACACACATCGTCCATAACAAACTGGGAAAAAGCAATTCAACAACCCATATCTCTGAGCACGTGGGAAAAAAACTTTTACCATTACTTATAAATCTTCAAAGTGCAGTTCGCACTGGGAATCGTACCTGAAAATACTCCATCAAGGGTACTTAACTCCTGTCAAATTAGCCCTATTCTATCCTCAACATTCACAATCCTGCTGGAGACATTGTGGGGAATCAGGTACTCTCACACACTTATTATGGGCGTGCAGGTCCCTGACTTCCTATTGGAATCACGCTTTTCAAATAATCTCTTCCATTACAAAGACACCAATAACCCCAAACCAGGCTCTAGCGCTCCTCCATATCGGAATAGATAAAATTCCATTGTCCTCACGCACCATCACTATACATATTCTGTCAGCTGCAAAACTCAATATCACCAGACTTTGGCGATCTACTAACACTCCCTCTTTATCCCGACTGCTGTCTGATCTTAACTTCCTATGTGAAATGGAGAGGAGAACAGCCCTCCATAACTTCTCATACCACAAATTTGAGACTCAATGGACCCGATGGTTACACAACCCCAACTGCTCGATAAAATGATTATATAATATTCGACCAAACTACATGATTATGACATCCTAGGTGCCTCTACCCCCTCCTCCCCCTCCCTCTTTTCCCTTCCCAATCTCTCCTTTACTGTTCATACCACAATTCAATAAGGTGCACTAAATTGAGCATACCTCTCATGTAGCTGAACCAAGATTTCGCAAGGTACTTCGGCCGGTTGGCGAGGGTACCACTACCCCATTTTACCTTACCTATGCAAGATTTTGTATTAAATGTGCACCTCTCTATGCTAATGTTTTCAATTATTTTGTATGTTTCAAATTTTCCAATAAAAATATTTGAATATAAATAAAAGCAGTGCAGTTTACTCTCCAACAAGCTGAACGGTGGTGATCTCAACAACTCTCACTGCAAATCTGTTGAAATCAGCAGTCAGAGGCAACAGTGCCTTGTATCTCACACTGCAGATATACAGCCATGAGTCACATAAGTGCCTAGGCACCAGGGGCAGACTGACAACTCAGGGGGCAATAGGGGACAATGGGGCCCCTGTGTTCTTGCCCACACTCAAAGCACACCCAAAAAAGCCTATAAAAAGGTACCAGGAGCATTTCATGGGGCCCCCCTACTGATCCCGGGCCCTAGGGCATTGCTCGAGTGCTCAAATGGTCAGTCCGCCCCTGCTAGGCACCCACACATACCAGGAAGCACATTGTTATGTTTTTCGGAGAGATCCAAGAAAAAACCCATATGGAAGAAAAATATATTTGAAATATATTTTAAAAATATTCTTCCCAAAATATTGAGATATATTTGAATACTACAGTTTTGGCCACATTCAATATATTTCAACATATATTTCAATAAATATATATACTGTATGTAGAAATGCATTTTTATTACAAAATATATGAAAAATATTTTAAAAAATACATTTCAAATATACTGTATGTCTTTAACCTCCTTAGCGGTATTCCCGAGTGTAGCTCGGGTAAAATTTCTATACCATGTGTGTCCCCGCCCCGTGCCAGAGCGGTAACCCCGAGCTACACTCGGGCTTACCATGCGGCGTTGCTCTGGGGGGTCCCTGCAGCACTTACCTTGTCCTTCGCTCCCGCGATGTGTCCCCTGCAGCGTCCCTGGCCATCTCCTCCGGCCGATGCTGGCATCCGGCTTCCGTGTTCCTGTCCCTGTGTGACGTCGGGACGTACGGGCGGGAAATTTGAAATTTTTAAAAAATTGTCATTTTTGCAGTCATTGCTGTCATTGCTGTTTCAATGCATTTCACATATATTTTGTCCCTACTGCTTTGTCCGGCGCCCTGCCTGCATTTTGAATGTTCTTTCTGCCTGGAAACTTAGAAAAGTCCATGGCGTCCAAAAAGCATCCCTTTACATCAAAGGCGGTTTTAGAGCTAGAGAACAGCGATAGTAAATCAGAACCACTTGCAGAATTGAGTGATAATGATTCGTGGGGAAATTCGTCATCAGACACTGAAAACGATTTTGCGACTTTGCTCAGCGATGTGCGAATTTGCCTCTGAATTTCAAATTTCAGTGTTTTTGGTTTGATTATATTATTGAATTAAATTTATTATTATTATATTATTATTTTTTATGATTATTTATTAAATTATAATTTATGATTTCGTGTTTCAAATTTTATCATATCCGGAATGTTTAATAGACTCTTGTTTGTACAGATTTCAGTGAGTTATTCCTAAAAAAATTACAGCCTACAATAAAAAACTACATATTTCCATGCAAAAAAATGGTACCCGCTTTCAGCACAAAAAATCGGAAAGAATCATACCGCCGAGGAGGTTAAAAATACAAATCTATATTTTTGAAATGCATTTACAAATATATGTAAAAATATATGTTAAAATTACTTTTTTATATGTTAAAAAAAATGTTAAGAATATATTTAGAAAACATATTTTTAAAAATATATTTTTTAAAAATATATTCTTCAGATTTTTTTTTAACATATAAAAAAGTCATTTTAACATATATTTTTATGTATACTTATAAATGCATTCCAAAAATGTAGATTTTTATTTTTAAAGACATACAGTATATTTGAAATGTATTTTTAAAAATAGTTTTCATATATTTTGTAATATAATATATATATATATAAAAAATATTTTTTTTTTAAATGTATTGAATATGGCCAAAATTGTAGCATATCAAATACATGACAATATATTTGAAAAGAATATTTTAAAAATAAATTTCAAATATATTTTTCTTCCATATGGGAGAGCCTGACCAAAATGACTCTATACACTTTAACACTGTGATGTGATCACCGAATCAGTGCTTTGACTTTATTTCAATGATCCCTGGTGTGCTGGCGACATACACTATGGCTATAGCATTTTTTTTAGTTTATACCTACTTCAGCATGAAAAAGTTTTTCTTAACTGGTTATCCCTGTATTTAAAAAAATATTTGTTTTTTATTTACATGGCAGAATAGTTGAAACTGGTAGCCTGGTGAATTTTGGAGAGGAAAAAGAATTGCACCCTGCATTACCTCATTGTGGTGATTATATCATTAAAACTAATATATAGAAGAACAATCAAATTAAAAACACACACAACTATAGATATAAAAATTTACTTATTACAAAATATTTATAGGGAATATTTCAGAGATCATATTATATCTTTCTGAATACAGACCCAGATCTTGGAGCACCCATAAATAATTTGAAATAAAACAACATTTCACTTGTAAGCAATAAATAAGATAAACAGCAATGATACAAGGGAATAAATACAGGAAAGTGTGTTCACATTGTGACAGTGGAATAATGCATAATCAAACATAATTCAAACCAATATCCAATCAAGGTGATATATACTGAATGATGATCATAAACTGCAAGAAATAACCCCACCACTACATTAATTACATAATGTATAAAGAAAATATTAAAAAAGTAAAGTGAATATATTGTTCTGAGCTATAATGCTGGTTTGGAATGAATACATTGCCTGTGTTTCCAGTGTCAGTGCCTCTTTGACAGATTCCCCCTCATTTCCTGTTTTATGAATACAACAGGAAGTGAAAGGAAATCTCTCCAAAGTGAGGAAAATCCTGAATCCACAAGCAGATAGCCTTTATTTAAGAAAAACAATGCATAAATTCCACACAAAGGGCAATATGTTTTGGCTGTAAGGCCTTGGTCATGGCTGGCCAGCCATGAATAAGACCTAAGAGCCATAACACGTTGGCCCTCTTGTAAATATTATGCTTTGTTCTTCCTAAATAAATGCTATGTGCTTGTGGATTTTACCAATGTGCTGGCATTCTATGAACTTGACCTCCGGAACAGGGGTGGACTGACCATTTGGAAACTTGGGCACTATCCGAAGGGCCCGGGGTCAGTAGGGGGCCCCATGAGATGCCCCTGGTACTTTTTTCATAGGCCTTTTTGAGTTTGGGCAAGGACACAAGGGCCCCATGATCCCCTATTGCCCGGGGGCCCCATGAATTGTCAGTCCGCCCCTGCTCCGGAAGGTTTTACTCCCTTTATGGCCAGGCCATTTGTTGCTATTTGGCACTGCGGTACTTTAACTGGCAATTGCACGGTCATGCAACACTGTACCCAAATAAAATGTATATATTTTTTTCCATACAAATAGAGCTTTTTTGGTGTTATTTGATCATCACTGGGTTTTTTTATTTTGTATTATATTAAAAAAACCCTGAAAAAATAAAAAAACAAACAAACAATATTTTCTTTCTGCTATAAAACATATCCAATAAATAAAATAAAATTTCGTCATAAATTTAGGCCAAGATGTATTTTGCTGTATTTTGCTGGGTGTGGTTTGAGTGTGGGCGAGGACACAGGGGCCCCATGATCCCCTATTGCCCGGGGGCCCCATGAGTTGTCAGTCCGTCCTTGTCCTGGACCCACCTTATGGAGAGCCCACTGTGATAACAGCTGTGACACGTACGCAGTTATGACAGCTGATTCTCAGGCTTGGATCCATGCGTCAAGAGTAAAGAAAGTCCTGGATTTTCCTTCATCTAAGGAGTTGGGTACAGACAAAGAGGGTGAAGCAGATGTTGCCGTCCCTGAAACAGACGTGTTAGAGAGTGAAGCCAGTGATAGAGTCTCTCTGGAAGACATCCAAAAAGAGACTGAGTAAGATGTCGATGCTTTTCAATCCGCAAACCTCTTGGAAAATATTCCTTTTAATAGGTTGTCTCACACTGGTAGTGTTTTTTTCTGATTTGGGTGATTAGTACATTTTATTATCACCCTCAGGACTTGATGTATATTTGCCCGCAGAGACTGACCTAGACATCCACGTGAACTGTTAGAGCAACCTGATTATGTCTGGGTTTACATGGCTAGGAGAGTGATGGATGCTTCCAATTTTTGTTTGTCAGATATGCTCAATCCTACTGACCTTTTAACATGTTTGGTAGCCGTTCCTACTCCAGCACAAGTTTTGCTGAATAACTTCAGAGTACTAACTAATGATAGTGATGTGAGACTGGATGATGTACCATCTATTTCATTGTATAAGTACTGTTGGATTTGTCCAGATTAATTTAAATGCTGGGAAAAGATGAAAAACATTGAATATTAAACAAGGAAATGTATGTTATAATATGACATGTGATTCTGAAGAGATTCCCTGGTGTTGGTATCTAAGATTTACATATGGGCCAAATCCAACAACCCTATGCCCTCATGATAGGATTTTATATATGTCTAATAGAACATGTACTTCAGTACATAACACAATGACTTGGGATCATGTTTCACCACAGCCCAGCAATATTAAGCATGCCAAACTACAATTAGGATGGTTGTTTTCTTGTGGAAATACCACATATTCATATATTCCAGGCAATATTACTGGAGGGCCTTGTACTTTGAGCTGTTTGAGTATGATATTGCCTGAGCATGCTAAAGAAGGAGAGGAACCTATGACCAAAACATGACACTGAGAGTGTATCAGAAGATTGTATATCAGATATTATATTGCTTTCTAAAGCTGAATACACTAGTTTGGCCGTATCTATTGTAGGAGTGCCAGCATTAGCATTATATAATACAAGAGCTGTTAATGCTTAGCATGTAGCATGGCAAAAAGTCTTAATTATACTTCAATGGCTTTTCAGGAATTGTTACTCAACCCCCAAGGAACCCATAAAGCGGTGCTTCAGAATCAAGTGATTACAGATCATTTACTGCTTAAAACTAATTATGGTTGTGAACATTTTGAAGGAATGTGCTGTTTTGAGTGATAATGCCACTTCTGTACAATCACATATATGGGCTTTACATGAGTTGGCCTCAGGAATTAAGCAGGATGTTGCTAGTAATTGGTGGGACTGGTTATTTGGATGGATACCTGGACTGGGAAGTTTGAGGCTAATCATTGGTGATTTGATGATAGCATGTTGTGGCTTACTTGGCTTACGCTGTTGCATACAATGTATTCTCAATTTGGGAATAAAGTAAAGTAAAAGGTATGCAGGCCAAATATATTAGTTGTCATGTTGAGACATTAGAGAGGTTGTGAAAGGGTTAATAGTTAACTAACCTTTGCTTTGTGCCTACTAACCAACTTTTATTTTCATAAACAGAATGTTCTCTGGGGACTGAAATATTGTTATCAATAAGTGTCCTCGGCCATGAAGCTTTGCAGAACGTATGATCTTGTTTGCTATATTTCTATTACGTACCATATGGTGAGTTATTGTAACATCTATAATGTATTCTGATTGGCGCTTTATGGATACCGTCTGAAGTATTCGGTGTTATTCTCTGTATTTAATCTCAAACAATAATAAAGACTTTGAATTTTGCATTTCACACTTCAGTGTCTGAATTGCTTTATTCCCAAAGTATTTTGTATCTATCATGATTGGACAGAGGGTGTTGGCACGAAATTGAGTTGTCCAGACACATCTGCTACTTTATAATAATAGATATAATACAGTTATTAATATTAATAATACCCTAAGGGGTTAATATAGGGTTATATCAATTATGGAATAAATTGGCTTTTAATACAAAGGCATGCTTTAAACAACTGATAGTTTTGATAACCCATCCACACCCTATCCAAAACAACAAAAACCAAATCTTGGAAGGTGTAAGGACATTTATAGCACCACACTGAAGTATTGAAGAGTCCACAGACATTTAACAATTAGAAGGACAACCAGTCCACTCATTTTGGGGGACTGTAGGGTTCTGCCTTCATCAGGACTCAAATTTTTGGTTTTGATAGTCTCTTCGGCTTGGTTCACAAATATGCATTTTGCGATTGATGCTTTCTCCAATGCTTTTTGCAGTTTGTTCTGCGTT